AGAATCTCAGCTCTGAGTAGGCCCTGAGCTGCAGAATGCCGCTATATCACTGTAACATCTTCAAGGTAAATGGGCTAACAATATCTAAGCCAGAAACATCACCCATCTCCAGTGAAATCAAGTAGTGAATCCTTTGATTTTAACTTGGTCTACAAGTGTTCTGCAAGACAATCAAACATTTCTAAGAAATTTTAACTTGAGGGCCAGGGATTTAGCTTAGTGGTGCTGCCACCTGCCTTGCAAGTGTGAGGTCCTGAGTTGGATCCCCAGTACCCCCCCAAAAAAAATTGTTTTAACTTGATAAACAAGTGATATCTTGCAATACAGGTATGTAAGTACATCACTCCAAATGTCACATCATACCAACTAGTAACTGCTTCTCTCTCTCTCTCTCTCCCCCCCCCTCTGTTCCCCCCACTCCACCTCTCTCCCTTACTGATTTTAAGGAGCCCAGCAGGTATGGTGGTGCATGCCTGTATTCCAAGCACTTGAGTACTTGGAGGCTCAGGCAAGACAACTGCCTCAAGTTCAGGGCCAGCTTAGGCTACATAGTGATTTCAAGGCCAGCCAAACCTTGTCTCAAAAAACTAAACAAGCCAGAGATTTACCTCAGTGGTTCTGCTGCCTGCCTCACAAGCGCAAGATCCCAAGTTCGATCCCCAGTACCAAAACAAACAAACAAAGAAACTATGGGCTTTCAATTATGAGTGAAACAAATTATTCCCGCAAACCAAGCTTTTACTATATTCTTACAATACTGGCTACCCAGGTTACCAAGAATACTGCTGGCCACCTAGACAAAGAGGAGCCCCTATGTACCTTAAGATCCATCATTTCTTACAAGTAGGTAAGACCCCTAACCTTACCGAGTTCACTGGACAGCCTGAGGCTCTATTCCATCACAGAAAACTCCAAGACTACAGAATACATATGAAGAGTGCACCCTTAGAAGAGAGAATTTGTCTTTTGACATTTTGGGCCAGATAAGTCTTTATTGTGCTGGGCTGTCTTGTGTATGGCAAGATGTTCAGCAGCACCCCTGGCCTGTACCCACCAGATGTCCACAGTTTATCATCCAAAACACCTCCAGACATTGCCAAATGTCTCCTGGAAGACAAACTCACATCCAGTTGAGAACCAATACTTTGGGATAATAAGTACCTAAGACAGCCTGAAATCCCAAAATAGCTATTTGAATCTCCCTGCTTGTGTAACCTAAGAATGGGGTGGGGTTGGGTGCAGTCAGAAAGCCAAGATCTAAAGCAAAATGCTTCAGGGGCCAAGAAAGCAATACAAAGAGGCAAAGGCAAAAAAAGTCTGGGTATAAAATGAGGGGAAGCAGAGGTAATGGTAACGGAATGTAAAGAGTACACTCCAATAAAGGGAGCAACAGTATAGAGAAAAGATCCTCTGAACCCTACCCAAAGTAACTCCATGTTAGCTTAGCATGGTGGCACAAGCCTGTAATGCCAGCACTTGGGAGGCTGAGGCAAGAGGATCACCACAATTTCAAGGCCAACCTGAGCTACACAGTGATTCAAGGCCAGCCTAGACTACACAGCAAGAACCTGTCTCAAAAACAAAAACAAACTAAAATAATTAATTCATTAATTAAATAAATGAAACAAAAACAACAACAAAAAGACAAAGTAACTTCATTTTGTAGTGGAGAGGCTGGTGCCAGACTGCAGCACACCACTATAGCTTGGCAATGCTTGCTGAGATCCACTGAGTTCCTGATAAAGATGGAATGGAAACACAGTACACATGATTTTCCCCACCGATTCTTCTTGTCTTTGATCCTGTTTTTGCCGTTTTAATTAAAACCATACAAAAACAATACCTTAGCAAAGAGGGGATGGTGACTTCTATATTACTGCAGCCCATAAGCTGTACACCAGTATGTATGTAATCCCTAATAAACTCATTTACTTCCCAAGCTAAACTTCTGGGTAATTCTTCAGACCACTGGTACCCTCCCTCTCAGTTCTGAAGCAGATGTTTCTTTACATCTCTCTGGGAAATTTTTTTTTTTTGTGCATTGTTTTGGAGATAGGGTCTTGCTATATAGCCCAGGCTGGCCATGAACTCTGGGTGATCCTCTTGCCTCAGCCTCCTGAGTGCTAGGATTACAGGCATGCACCACCACACCCAACTTCTCTGAGAAAGTTATGGAACAAATAGCTACTGAAATCTAGCTGATTGCAACAGGCAGAAAATTAGGTACAAGGTTGCCACCACTTTTGATTTTCCAAGAGAAATTGTAAGCCCTGATTTCTAAAATGTTGGCAACTAATTAAAAGTTATTTAAAACATCATGTAGATGACTGGGACATAGCTCAGTGGTAGTGCTTGCCTACCATGCATGGGATAGTGGGTTCAATTCCCAGTCCTGCAGAAGAAGACAAAAAAAAAAAAGACTAAAACACCACACAGGCCTAACAAATCCATCTGTTGGTCAATTGCAGCCTCTGCCCTAGAATTTATTACATGGAGACTTCCTGGGCTCTTTGTTCTAAATGCAGTTTTAATCTATCCTGGCATGGCTGTAACTTCTTCATGCAGTCTTCCAACAAGCTAAACCACTCTTTTAAGGTACCTTTAATTCACCTCAAAAACATGTACAGTTTTTATATACAATTAAAAAGTTTTAAATTTTAAAAATGCTGTGAATTTCCACAAAAATACTGTGAATTCATTTATTTTCACAGATATTTAAGCACTTTCTTTGAAGCCTCACAGAAAGTACTAGGGATAAATATAAAGATTTGTTTGTGGCTGGAGGTGTAGCTCAAAACTAGAGCATGTGCTACACGTGTGAGACTCTTCCCTATACCAAAAAAAAAAAAAAGTGTTTGCCTTTAAAAACTCATCTAACCGAAGAATATATAGGTATCTTGTATTCAGTTAGACCAAACCACTCTGACATCTCAATTTCCAGACTAACTTCATTCTCTCATATCAAGCCTCATCCTGGATACACTGCAGGTCTTTGGTTTTTTTCCCCCTGACTATGACCTAATTGGTTTCTTCCACATGTTTCTTTTTTTTGTTTTGTTTTGTTTTGTTTTTTGAGACTCAGTCTCACTATGTAGTTCAGACTGCTCTGGAACTCACTGTGTAGCCCAGGCTGGTCTTGAACTTGCAGCAATCCTCCTGCCTCAGCCTCCCAAGTGCTGGGATTACAGGTGTGTACCACCACGCCCGGCTCACACATAATGTTTCTTGACATCAGGCTGCTCTCACCATGGATCAAACTCAGGACCTTGGGCTTGTGAGGCAGGTGCAGCATCACTGAGCTAAATCCTCAGTCCAGCCTAGCTCTTTTTAAATCTTGAGTCCATGACCTAAGTTCCAAAAAGGAAATAAGCCAACAAAGCCGAGTCAGTTAAGGAACTGGTTTTGTGAATTGGCCCTACTTTGGAAGGCACTCGGCAACAGCATTTACCACATTTTTTATCACACCTCATAAAGACACAAAAGAGGACTTTCAGAACTGATTCAGAAAATGGCAAGAATGATGGGGAATATGTTCAAAGTAAAAGGGAATATTCTGAGGAGGATCAATGATAATATGTTTTATATATATATTTTTTTTTAGTACCAGGGATCGAACTCAGAACCTTGTGCTTGCAAGACAGGCAGCAGAACCACTGAGCTAAATCCCTGGCCCACAAATATATATATATATTTTGGTACTGGGAATCAAACTTAGGGCCTTGCACTTGCCAGGCACGTGCTGCACCGTTGAGCTACATCTCTGGCCCTGTAATAAAAAAATTTTTTGTACTAGGGATCAAAATCAGGACCTTATACTTGTGAGGTAGGTGGTGGTAATACTGAGCTAAATCCCAGGTTGCAATAAATTTTTTGTTTGTTTGTTTTTGGTACCAGGGATTGAACTCGGGTCCTTGTGCTTGCAAGGCAGGCAGCAGAACCACTGAGCTAAATCCCCAGCCCTAAATTTTTTTAACTTAAGTACATACCAAATATTTTGTCACACTTTGTATATACAACCAAAGCTTTTGCAAGCAGAGATAACAGAAGAACATAGTATAAGTGCTTCTGACAGCACAGTGCTAAGAAACACAGGGAACTCTAGACAAGGTAAAGCTCTAGCTCTGTGAGGGTGGGTAAGTTCACAGCCATCTTCTCTCCTTTCTGTGATTTTACACACAAGCCCTCTTTACCACTCCAAAAGAGAGGCGAACCACTGGGATCTTTCAACTCTGCCATCAGAAACCTAATGTAGGTTTGAAGCCATGTTCTTCTCACTGGCTGTGGGCATAACTTATTTACAAAGTCAATGTAAAGAAATTTGAAACACCAATGGGAAAAAGCCTGTGTGTGTGTGTGTGTGTGTGTGTGTGTGTGTGGGTGCACGCGCGCGCGCACCAGGGATCAAACTCAGGTCCTTGCACTTTTGAGGTAGGTGGCAGAAGGAAAAAGCCACTTTGTTTGGTGCCTGATGCTTACAACAAGCCATGAATGGCAGTGGCAGAAAGGAGGGGTCCTGGGGGGCTAGGAGATAAGGGACCCCCACAGTCCAGGACCTATTTGCTCACAGATGCCTTCAAACTGGTTTAAAATGAAAAGCTGTAAAAGTAAAAGTAACCCTTTTTTTTTAATAAATAATAAAGGCCTTGACATTGGTATCCCTTTCTGGATTAAATTACAACTAGTGATGCTGCCACCAATCAAAATACCTGACCGAAACAAAAGACATAAGATATGTGCCTACCTTGTCACAGAATGGAGAACAGAATTCAGGGACAGCCCAGAGTTGAGGGACCAAAAGTCATGAAGGGATACAAACTTTTCCCACCCTCATCCTTTATGCTTACTCAACTCTCAGGATCAAATGACTTTGGTGAAATTACTTCAAAAGGTAAGAGTCTTCCCCTCCTCCAAAAGTGCAAAATAAATTATTCAACTATAAGGCACTCACACTGCTATGACAGTACCCCACATATCTCCCCACAGTGAGCTCCCATACTTACATACACAGGCAGCAGCGAGGAGACGGCAGGCCAGGTATGGGGAATGACAGGTGGGGAAGGAGGGCTGGATGATGTAGTTGGCGAAGGTGATAGCAATGATGGCCTGACTGGTAGGCTCCACAATTAGCAGGGAGGCCCACAGGCGGATGAAGGCAATGAAGCCCCCAAAGGCTTCTAGAATATAAGCATAGCTCGCCCCTGACTTGGTGATGGTGGTCCCCAGCTCCGCATAACAAAGGGCACCCACAACAGAGAAGAGTCCACCAACGGCCCACACCACCAGTGACAACCCATAGGAGGCAGTGTGTTGCAGCACCCCCTTGGGAGAGACAAAAATTCCTGAGCCAATCATGTTGCCCACCACCAGGCTAACCCCATTCAGCAGAGAGATCTCCTTCTTTAGCTGCATAGTTTCTGGGGACCCTTCAGGTGGCAAGTTGACATCTTCTTCCACCCTGGGCTGGGTGGTACCAGGGAGGAGATGGTCAGTGGGTGTGGGGCTCTCAATCTCCTTGGCTTCCATGGCAAATTGTTCCTGCACACTTGTGTTTACTGTCGCCTGGCAAAGAAAACAAATATGTCAAGTCTAGGGCAGGAACTGGTAAATCTCTGGTTTAGACCCGTGAGGCAGGAGATCCTTGCCCACTTCTGGGGGGGACAACATGCCACACACACAATAAAATAGGCCTGTCTGATTTCCTGCCACAGGAAACAGGGAAATAGAACTTTCAGACCTCCACTGTTCCTAAGAAAAAAATCATGAAAGCTCAGACATGATCTGATGATGACTTCCAACAAATATCTGTCTTATTGCCCAAAGTAGCCTGGCACTGGGTTTATCACAGCACAGATTCTACCTCAGTATTGATCTTACTCTCTTCTTCCCAGCTTAAAACCCACAAACCTGCCCTATAGAGAAGACCTAAATCCCCACAACAGGTACAAAGCCCTCATTTGCCCGAAAGGCCTCTCATTTTCCATGCACAGTAATGCTGCCCACTCAGCGCTAACACAAAGAGGGACTCACCACTCACCACTCAAACATACAAAAGGACCTTTTCAGTGCCCAGGCATACGCAGGGATGCCTGCAACTTCTCACTCACCAGTAAAGAACATAGGCAGGTGGGGGGAAGGGCTAAAATGATAAGACAAGAGTATACTGCTGTTGCAGAAACTGGATCAAGGAGAGGATCTTTGAGAAAATATACACCTGTTTGTTGCTGTGTCCATAACACCCACCTTACTCCCCAAATTGCTTCCTTTCCCAAAAGAGATTATATAATAAAACACAATGGAAAAAACATCCAGAGTCAAAATAACCTGAGGCTAACTTGACATTGGCTCGTTTGCTGTCCGTATAGCTTATTAACATCTGGGGCTGCAAAGAGATTCTCCCAGAACAGTACCCAGGAATCTTGACACCCAGCCCAAACTATAACACTTCTCTTAGCCACAGATCAGGTTTGGAAAGCTTCCTGTTGAGAGACAGCATATAGACATCCACTACCTTTGGATTACAGTTGGGCCAACACAGAAACCTCAAGGAAGCTGAATTCCACAGTAACCTACATATGAAGGACCCAGCATGTGTCAGAGGAAGATAAGCACCTTTCTGACCCCGCACCCTCAATTCCAGTATAGGTCATGCTTCAGATTCCCTGATCCTACCTCATCTTCTAGAGAAAGGAATCTAGTGAGTTATTTGATTCCCACCCAGGAGTCAATCCTTGAAGGTCACAGAGATAGCTTCCAGGGATAAGAACAAGATCAGGTCAGCCAGAGCGGTCATGCCTTTGATCTTAGCTACTTGGGAGGCTGAGACAGGAGGATGGTAAAGCAAGGCCATTGTAGGCAATTTAGCAAGAGCCTGTCTCAAAATAATAATAAAAAAGGGCCAAGAATGTAGCTCAGTGGTAGAGGGCTTGCTTAGCATGCATGAGACCCTGCATTCAAGCCTACACACATAGACATATAGACAAACAGAATCAGTATATCACCTTCCCAAGAGCTTCTCATCTACTCAACATAGATTTATGTGCCAGATCCTGGCCTCATGGAGCTCAGAGTGAGAGAACTACAGTCATTCGAGAGTAAGGAGTTCTCAGAGAAAACTCCGACTCCACAAGGCCCCACCCTAAATTCATACTTTACCTGTCTCAGTCGCCTTCCAGAATCTGGACCTAAGGCCAAGTGAAAAAGCTCCTCTGGGAGCTAGCCTTCCCTAGACCCATAGAACCGAGCCAGCCTACCTCTGCTTAGATGGGGCTGGGCTTTCAGGAAGCACCACTTTTTCCTCTCCTGGCTCCAAGTCATGCAGGTTTCCCTCTGCAAGCTTGTGGGAACATATTTGTTTTCACATGTCTGTCAGGTGAGCCCAGGCATCCATGGGAACAAAGCAGTAAACAGCTAAGGAGGCTTTATTCTTAAATCAGCTGCAAAGAGACTTTTGCCTTTCTAATCTAACTCAACAGAGACAAGCAAAGAAGCCCAGCCTCAGCAACCACTCCATCTTCCTCTATTACACCAGATCCTATGGGACTGTGGACTGGGATTACTACATGTTCCTTCAGTATCGCAACCAGACACTGGTTTTTCTGATATGCCTTTATTAAGTGTGTCTGATACACTGTAGTACCCAACGGCCTTATTTGGAGGGGTAGGGTATAGTCACAGCCCCACTAGATTTCTAGCCTAAAATCTGAGCCCTAGCACCTGAATAAGATTCACTATGTAGCCCAGGCTGGATTAAACTAGCGATGATCCTCCTGCCTCAGGCATGCACCACCATGTCTAGCTTTCCTGCTGGACTTTTTAAAGGACTCCTTCAGCCAAGAAAAAAGGCAGACTCACACAAACAATTGAGAGCAGTTAAGGCTTCTTTTATCTTCATTCAATAACAAAATATAATTGTCACTAGAAGCATGTCCTTGATCAAAGTAATTAAGAGTCCTTATTCCTTTGGCAAAAACCCAAGCACAGAGTTGTGATATAACCTCAGTGAGCTACCTGAGAACAGATGGTTAAGTCTCAGGTTGGACTGGCCACACAGCCCCAAGGCCATCATTCACCTCTCCTCTACAAGGTATGATTAAATGTCCGGGTGAATGCTTAAATATTTTAAAAAATTTATCCAGGCATGGTGGCACATGCCTGTAATACCAGCACTCGGGAGCCCAAAGCAGGAAGATCACCTTGAGTTTGAGACCTGCTTGAGCTACAAAGTGAGTTCAAGGTCAGCCTGAACTAGCAATACACTGACCTCAAAAAAAAAACTTGTTGCAGTAAAAGACAGTGCCATTAATCCACCTCAGATTACTCCCTCTTGCATTGTTTATACTATTATTCTTGCCACTTTCTAGAGCACTACCAAAAGTTCTCTCTTAATGTCATTTGAGGTGTGATCAGCCAGGCATGGTGGCACATACGAGGCTGAGGCAGGAGGATCAGAAATTCGAGCCATCTTAGGTAACTCAGAGATTTAGTGAGATGCCATCTCAATATTTAAAAGGGGGGGCAGGGGTGTAACTCAATAAGGCTCTGGGTTCAATCTCCGGCACACACACACACACACACACACACACACACACACACACACACACAGAAGTGTGATTAAAAAACAAATATATTGAATGCTGCTGCTGGGTGCCATCCAAAAAGGCAGGCTCATAAAAGCATTATGGTGTGCCCTCAACCATTTTGTTCACCAGGTCTGGCACCACACAATTTCTGGCCCTCCCCTAAAGTCAATGTGACATGAGAGGTAAACATTTTAAAATGAGTCAGGACACTGAGGCAGCTAGAACAGCACAACTAAAGATACTCACTAAAGAGGACTTCCAGAACCGCTTCAGAAAGTGGCAAGAATGACAGGATAAGTATATTCAGAGCAAGCTGGAGTATTCTGAAGGGAAGTAATGGCTATGCCATTTACTGTGATAAATTTTAAAAAATTAAACATTCATCATACTTTACAATCACACCTTATATATCTAAACCTCACCACACACAACTACAAAATGTACAAAGCACTTATTTAAACCAGGCTTTGTGCTAGGGACAGAGTCAACAGGATCAGTACAGACTATGATCTCACAAAACACACAGCAGGCAGTAAAGCCTCAAGAAAATGAGAAGCGCATGGAGATCACAAGTCCCACAGGCAGAGACAAGAAGTAACCTGGACTTCACCCTTCATCTTCCCAAACTAGCCTTGAACTCTGTGATCCTCTTGCCTGAGCCTCCCAAATGCTGGGATTACAGGAGTGCACCACCAAGCCCAGCTAGCCTCACTGACTTTTTGTAAGAATCAAATTAGACAATATAAAACTCCTCAATAAAATATGAAGCTTTCATCAGCAGGGTTAACAATACTTCAGACAAATTCTGGAACAAAGGTGGAGAAAGAGAAGAGAGGGAAGCTCAAATCACTGAAAGATAAAATCTAGCACAAAATGGGAAGTCCTCAATTTCTAGCTTCCATTTAGAATACAGAAAGGTGGGGCTGGGCATGGTGGTGCATGCCTGTAATCCCAGCACTTGGAAGGCTGAGGCAGGAGGATCGCTGTGATTGAGACCAA